TTAGCGTCCAAAAGATATCTTCAAGACGTTTTATCTCTCGATGTGTTGTCTAGGAAATGATTACCAATGGTCGACAAGTACATTTAAAAAATGCAATTGAACGACATTGTAAAAATTCGATTTTTTTTTAATTGACGAATATCAAAGAACATAATCAATTAAAAGATGGAACTAACTAAACTTCTGTAAGAATTATGATTTAAAGAATTCCTCAGATATGAGAGAATTAGATATAAAAATTTAAACACCTGAAAACATAATATAATCTATCAAGAAAATATAATCAGGTAAAGAAGTGTAGTAAACTCTCGTTATGCGGCGCACAGAATAAATGAGATAGATATATTTGATATAATAGAAAATAATTTTATTTAAAAATAGTGCGCATCAATTGCACATCACAAATTGCATATTTTTCTCATTTCTATACAATTTTTTTTATCTATAACATAATGATTAATAATTAATTTTTAATATAATAATTATTATAATGATTTCTAATAATATTTTTTTAAATTTTCTATATTATATTATAATATTACATTGTATATGTATATTTTATACTTTATATTATATTATATTTTAAATTTTTCAATAAGAAATAATTCTATACATGAATATCATCTTACAATTATAATTTCAGCCAATTCAACATAATTTAATAACAATAAAGTGTTAAATATACATATTATGCAAATCGATCTTATTTCACATTACAGCTAGTTCTTAGCATCAGTTACCTAAACATCTTCGCAGAAGGCTGACCTTAATGATATTCATAGCTCTTACATAATAGAGAACGCATATGAGATATGTAATAAATACTCAAATCAGTTAGATCAAGAAGTAACATTTTAATCAATTCAAGTTTAATCAATTCAAGTTAAATTAATTCAAGTTAAATAAACCGGTTAAATAAATTCTATAATGAAGTGTAATTATACAATTTATAATTATCGTGCCAAATTAACACTTGTTATAGCATTTATTTGCGAATATCATAAAACGAAAACTATATTAATTCGATATTTATATTAATACATGAATGACGTTGGTCAATTAATAATTCAGGAACAAAGTCCGCTCGAACTGGATAATTCACGCATATGCGTGAGCATATAAACGTGCGTTCGAGAATATCGAGATATTCGATCGATTATATTATCGATGAAAGAATCAGTTTAAAAAGGTTTCTTTCCATTAGAATTAATTAATAAATTTACTTAGAAGAACTCGAACAAATATTTATTAAAATTTAATATTCTTTTTTTCGCGTTGTAAAATCTCTCATTATTTCTAAAATATATAAAAAGAATTTCTTTACTTTATTTAAAAAAGAACAGCTTAAATTTATTATTCTATTCGCAGAGTCGAAGAAAAATTACATTATACAGCATAATTTATTCCCTTCAATCGAAACGCAGAAATTGAGAGATTTTTCTCTAAATTTGAAGGTCTTTTCTTTCCATTGAGAGATTTTTTGGGGATACAAAAAGTTATGGGGAACTTTTGGGAAAAAAATACAAAGAATTAATATCCAAATTACGGCTAAAACATCGAGAAAATTAAATGAAGATAACCTGGATAACTTTATTAAGTCCCAGATAGCACACAATATTTATAAAATATTTAGAAAATATTTATAAATATTTATAAGATTTATTTTAAATATTTTGTAAATATTTTTGTAGTCTTGGATTGCACAGATTACAAACATTTATTATAAATATTATGAAATATTTATTGTAAATGTTATAATAAATGCTACGAAAATACTTAATGAGATATTATAATCCAAGTAAAAAATACTTATTCGAAATATTTATTTACATTTACCATAAATATTACCTGAAATATTTAGTCTACATTTTAATAATATTTCAAATAAAGCTTTATACAAAATATGTATGTAATATTTATGCAACATTAAACAAATTGAATATTAATAAATATTTATCAAAAATATTCTGTACTGTCTGAGGCATAAGCAACACTGGACAGGATTAAAATTGCGAGAGTCGCGATTCCTCGCTCACCAATCGATTCTATCTCGAACGTTCCCCCTCCCCTTATTCCCCCACTCCCAAAAGTACACAGTAGTGTACCTACATTACTAAGCAGCGTGACGGCAGCGTTCACCGATTCACCGATAAGGCGGCAAGGCACAACACGACCGAACACGACGGAGTGTCGCACGCGGTGCCGTGCGTGACTCGTGGATCTTCCGGTAATTTCGTTCCTCTCGATGAGAGTGAGTGCCCGTCCGATCTGATCGACCGAAATTATGGCGAGCTGCAGGCTGTTCGGCGTTCTGGCGCGCTGCTCCCGCGCCAACGCGAGTTCCGCTTTCAAATGCACAGGTGATTACGTGTCCACTCTCTGCGGTGGAAACCGTCGAAAGGAGGAGTTTAGATCAACGCAATCTCGAGCGAGTTTTACTCGAGTCACGAGATAGCTGCGTTCCGAATCGACGTCCAAAATGTCGTTTAGGAGTCACGTAAAACGCGAGAGATCGAGTACCAAAAGTAGGAAGGTTGAACAACATCGGGAAACGATCCGGAATAAACGTTCGAGATTGCGAACGGCAATGGCGAATAATTTATATCGGCTCCAAGACGCGAATTATTCGTTAGGGAGCATCGTGAAGTTATGAAAGAGAATCGGAGTAACTGATTGAATTTTCTGACACTGGATATGGATGGATGTGTCAGACCGGTACGTCGGGCAAGATGCCGATAGGTGCGCCGGTGTGAGTTCGACCTTTGCTCTCACAATCGGAGAGAGAGAGAGAGAGAGAGAGCTGGCGATAAGGTCGAATAGCGCTAACTTCGGGTCGACGACTGGCACCGGCAACCGAAAGTTATGTTATTTTGAGGAATACTTCGCTATATTTTCCTTAAAACATGGAGACGGATACACAGACACATATTACGTGATCTCGTGCTGCACTTTTGTACTTTGGACTGAAAAGTCCAAAGTACGAAAGCTTAAACTTGCAAGTTTATAATGAATGCAATTTATGTTGGAATTCTTTTTCAACCATTCACTTTAAATAATTAAATTCTAAGATATCGTTTCGAACAATTCATTCAAATTTAACCATGGTTAAAAATAAATGGTTAAAAATAAATGGTTCGAAACGATATCTTAGAATTTAATTATTTTAAGTGAATAGTTGAAAAAGGATTCCAACATAAATTGCATTCATTGTAGAAATAACTGGCTGTTGTTTTCTTTTGCATAATTTATATTATGTATCGCTTATCTTCACATCGCACTGTTTCGTCTAAATTACAATTTGAATTAATATTCCAATAATATTTTGAGAGACTCAATCGCTAAATGGTTAATTTTTATCAAGTTGACAATCAAATGTATAAAGAGGAACTTACTATGTGTACGTACTTCATTCAAGTTATAAAGATATAATAAATTAACATTTTTTTGTTTAGAAAAAATCTTATCGATAATTTAATATTTAATCTGTATGTAATATTGAGGACATGACAGTATTAAATTAAGGTTGAAACATATGATTTTATCTATATTGACATGTCGCTAAAATGATTCGCCATATCGCTATTGTTTTACTGAAATATGTCGAAATTAATTGCGCACACTTTTCAATATTTAAAAAAAAAATTAGGTTTTCTGAATCTGTTTTTGTAAATGTACCCGTATAATTGCAGATTACTAAATTTTATGCATCAAGATTTCGTCGTGTAATTTCATAAACATTGACCTAATGTCGGAGTAGGATTTAGTTCAAACGATTGACGTTTATACATACTAGTGTTTTGATGTTCGAATTGAAAAATTTTTTTAATCATCGAAAAATTCCGAGATTATTTTCTACACTTCACATACAAACACAGATAAAAGTGTAGATAATGGAAAGATTAAATGATTCGTTTTCCTTACCCTTTGAAATAAAAGAAATATTGATTTAAAGACTAAATAGCCAAAAATATAAAAAATATAATTAAAAGAAAAAATATTTATAATAAACTTTTTTAAGTTAAAGTTAAGAAAATTTTAAGTTATCATGAATGAAATGAACTATCCAACATTGGCAAAATTCATGTTCAATGTTTTGATTAGTTAAAATATAATGAGATATACATGCCTATATGCGTTTATGTAGTTTTATATAGATATTCATTTTTGTAGATATTCAAATAGTGACTGCAGGATAATAATACAATTATGTATGAGACTTTTTCACAACATAAATAATGTAAATTACATCATATCTCAAAATAGAAAAATTAGAGGAATGTAGTTCATGATAAACATTACAAAAATTATTATTTTAAAGTTAAAAAAAGTTTATTAGATGAAATGTTCTTTTCTTATTATAATAAAATTTTATCTTATGTCTTATTTAATTACTTCATATTATATATTTAATTACTTATTTCTCATATTTTTATGTATAGGTTTGCAACAATCAACGAGAACACTAGCAACTGAAGCAAATAAGAAATATTTTAAATACAAAACCGTTGGCGATGTAGCAGTTATCACCATAGATTCACCAAATGCCAAAGTAATATACAATAATTTGCAGTAGTATACAATTTCGATGCACTAAATATGATGCTAACACAGATCTCTATTTTATTTATTGTTAATATAGGTAAATACCTTAAACAAGGAACTAATGGCGGAGATAGCAGAATTACTGAATGAAATTCAATCGAATACTCTTGTCAATGCAGCGGTATTAATTAGTGGAAAACCAGATAATTTCATAGTTGGTGCAGACATTACTTGGTTACAAACTATTCCGGATGCAGAAGCTGGTTATCAGATAGCGAAAGAGGGTCACAGAATTCTGGATCTAATAGCGAATAGTAAAAAGCCAATTGTCGCTGCTATTCACGGTCCGTGTCTCGGTGGAGGATTAGAGGTAACATATCTTTAAAAAGAAATTAAGGGGGGGGGGGGGATTACAACATTATGTATTTCTGCGGCTGATGAGGACTAAGTATAGTCGAAACGTACCGTTGAAACTTATCGTCGGAAAATTATAATTTGTGAATAATAAATATTATTTGTTATAACTATAGCTCGTTTAATGTATTGACCTGAGTTTACTAATTATTAATTTTGAAACTAAAAGTGTTTAGCTAAAACTGGAAAATAAAGAAAATTGAGACGGTAAAATTATTAATTACATTGATTATTTTATACAGGTCGCATTAGCGTGTCATTATAGACTAGCCGTTAATGATAAGCGAACTAAATTAGGATTACCGGAAGTAATGCTGGGACTCCTTCCTGGCGGCGGTGGTACTCAGCGCCTGCCTCAACTAATTTCCCTTCCTACTGCTTTGGATGCAGTACTCACTGGTAAAAATATTCAACCGGACAAAGCGAAGAAACTTGGCCTAGTAGATATCCTTGTAAACCGCCTTGGACCGGGAATCCGATCGCCCGAAGAAAAGTAAATATACTTAACTACCATCATAATACCTATTTCTCTGAAAGAAAAGTTTTAATTATGTTGTGCAGCAAAATTATTTAAATTATATTGCGCATTTAAAAATCAAATTAATTCTTCAGTACGATGAGATACCTAGAAGAAACCGCAGTGAAAGCCGCGCAGGATCTCGCAAACGGAAGATTGAAAGTTGAACGCGGTCCGAAATCTCTTATAGACAAGATAATGCAACAGATTTTATCCATCAACTTTGTTAAGGATCAGGTGTTTAAGAAAGCGAAGGGGCAAGTGATGAAAATGACGAATGGTTTGTATCCAGCTCCGCTTAAAATTCTAGAAGTAGTGAGGGTCGGTCTGGATAAGGGTCCTTCTGCCGGATTTGATGCTGAGGCCAAGGGATTCGGTCAGCTAGCGGTTACTCCGGAGTGTAAAGGTCTTACCAGTTTGTTCTTTGGCCAGACAGCATGCAAGAAAAATCGTTTTGGGCCACCTAAGAGTGCAGTCAAGTATGTCTTTTAGTAACTCAAGCATAACTAATTAAAATAATTGTCGATATTAATCTATTGCTATTTAATTTATGTAGAAAAATTGCTGTAATTGGAGCTGGTTTAATGGGCGCAGGTATCGTCCAGGTCAGTATCGACAAAGGCTTCAATGTCGTTATAAAGGATACCAACGATGCTGGATTATATCGCGGCGTAAATCAGATTCAAAAGGGCCTAGATGGCGCTGTGAAGCGTAAACGAATCTCTAAGTTTGCATCTCTTTTATAAACAAGAAACTACACATTAAAAAACTGATTTTTTTAACGGAAATTTTCTACACAGTATCGAAAAGGACAAATATTTTTCCCACCTCGACGCGACATTAAATTACAATTCCTTCAAGGATACAGACGTAGTGATCGAGGCTGTCTTCGAGGACATCGGTATCAAGCACAGAGTCCTGAAGGAAATTGAAGCAGTGGTGCCGAATCATTGTGTCATCGCGACCAACACGTCCGCTATTCCTATCACAAAAATTGCTGCTGGTAGCAGCCGTCCTGACAAAGTAAAGTCCATAATATTAATAAATGTATAATTCTAAGCTATAATGGCATTTAATAAATATTATTATTATTATGTAAAATATTTAATTTTTTAAATTAAATTATAATTAAGAAGAATATATGTGATTAATTAAACGTCATTTAATTTTATATAACAATTTATTATAATAGTAGCATTTATAAATATATACATGGATGATGAGCTACAAGGCATATTTTTTACAGGTGATCGGAATGCACTACTTCTCTCCTGTCGACAAAATGCAATTGTTAGAAATTTTAACACACAAAGGAACATCGGAAGAGACAATCAAAACCGCTATAGATGTTGGTTTGAAACAGGGTAAGACCGTCATCACAGTCGGTGATTGTCCTGGATTTTACACCTCAAGAATACTTTCCTGTATGATGACAGAAGCAATTAGGCTAATGCAGGTAAGAATTATTGGAGTAACAATATTTCTCTGAAGCATCTAAATATTTAGAATTGATATTATAATTATTAGAATAATTGATCTTATTCTACAATAATGTTACAGTCATGTTAGCATTCATCTTTCCAATACAAATCGCTAATATAAACATGATACAATCTATTCAATAGGAAGGTGTAGATCCAGTGCAGTTGGACAAATTAACAAAGAAATTCGGCTTCCCTGTCGGCACAGCCACTTTGTCCGACGAAGTTGGCATTGATGTAGGTTCTCACATCGGTGCCGACCTCTTGAAGGCTTATGGTGAGCGCTTTAAGGGAGGAGACACAAATATTCTCACCGATATGGTTAAAGCTGGTTTCCTCGGTAAGATTTTTGTCGTAACATAGAAAAAGAGAATGCAGTAGATTAGTTATTTTGCTGGCGGTTCACATAAATTGATAATAACGGAAGAAATAAATATAACTATAAAAGTATCACACAAGACATTCTAAAACTAGATTTTAGGAAAATATATTTTATTTTTTTAATTTTAGGACGCAAGTCAGGCAAAGGTATATTTGTGTACGAAACTGGCTCCAAACATAGAGATGTAAATCCTGGTGCAGTGGACATTCTGAAAAACTATATACTCGAACCTAAGGGTAGCACGTCTGACGAGGATCGTCAGATGAGGCTGGTTTCGCGATTCATCAACGAAGCTGTATTGTGCTTGGAAGAAAATATTTTAGCTAGTCCCGTAAGTTAATGTCCTTCTAACTTTATCCTCATTGATTATATTTTTTTGCTCTTTACATTATTTAATAATTATTTATATTTCAGTTGGAGGGCGATGTGGGAGCTGTGTTCGGCCTGGGCTTCCCGCCATTCTCAGGTGGTCCATTCCGTTGGGTAGATGCATACGGTGCCCATCGACTCGTTAAGAAGATGGAAGAATTCCAAACTCACTACGGCGACTCTTTCAAACCGTGCCAATTATTACGCGATATGGCGACTGATTCTAAGCGAAAATTCTATCCGAAGTAAAAGTTCGATATAAATCCATTATCAGCATGTCTTCATGTTAACTAATGTTCATCCGAGAACTGTATTATATTTGTTCGCTTGAGGCTTAGAGAAAGAAAGCAAGCACCTCGAAATAGGTGCAAAGATTAAACGTATGTTAGCCTGGAATTCAGATTAGAGTTTGTATTTGTTACATCTCGAGTATATTAATTTGTTGAAAGTTACTTTGTGCTCCTAATTGAAAGAATGTTTATCATCTTCTATTCATCAAAGAGATATTTTTTTAGTCATTGTAATAGAATAAACAATTTACAAGCGAATTTATATGTATCTTAATCATAGGACTACACTACATTTTTGTAAATCACATTTTGCGAATCACATTTGGCTTGGTTCTTTCAGAGCGTGAATCTTTTTTAGCCGCGAATAATTTTAACTTCTGGTGGAAATGTACATATATTTTTGAATGAATTATTTTCTAACAAAATACCAAATATCAAATAACATCAGAATGATTATAAAATCAGTTCAAGTCTATTTATTAAATTCTAAAATAGATATAAAGATTTAAATCAGAAGAAATTTTCAAGAATACTAACTTGAAATTTTGACTGAAACTCATACTCATGTGCGAAGTCCTAAAGTTAATAATATATCAATTTCTTAATAATGTTACTTCTGATTAATATTTCCGTAAGGAAAAAATTTATTATTGGAATAAAAAAAGACAACATTAAAGGGAATGCAGGTTCAACATAATTTTATTCATGCGAGATACGATACGACGTGATTCCACGTGCAGGTCAGATAGGAGGAGTTATGCGTGGCATACATAATGCTCTGAAGTCGTCACTTCTAGAGTATCATATATTTTTGGATTTGGTATTTACATGTTCCACGCCCAACAACTTCCCGCGAACACATTGTAGATAGACTCGTGCATTTATTAATTCCGCGAATTTTATATGCCGCAAATATTTGATATTTTTCTTTATAAACGCCTTTAAAAATTGTTAATTAGGCAAAATCATAACAATTGTACATCTATTTTTGCAAATTAGAAATAAAGAGTTTATATATTAAATGTACTGAGAGTTTCTCTAAGAATCTGAATGTTTTTCTTTATTATTTTTTAATAGACTACATTGTCTATATTATTATGTGAAGAATAAAAAGAGTTAACATTCTTCAATAATTCTAAGTATCATTATGATTCGTAATTATATACGATTTATCTTTGAAATTTCATCTATTAATTCACAATGTTGACGTATTTGAAACGTTTTAATCTAACTATGTGATTATGGAGCATAAAATTGTTTGTTTTTTTGTGCGTAACGATCGATTAATTGCCCCGATTTTATTTTTAAAAAACTCAATAAACCAGTTCAATAATTAGTATTAACCTCCGAGCATGCAGACGTAATGTAGAAATGGAAATATTTAGCTTGATGCAACAGTCAAGAAATGTTGCACTCTTGTTTATGTCGACATCATTTCTTCCAGTCAATTCTGGAGCAACATAAATTAGATACGTTTTACATCTATATTAATTACGTCGTTATTTCTAATTAAATCTTCTAGTAAATTTCCACAATTCTTTATGGTATATAAAGTTTTAATAACACCACTATAGATGATTTTTTCAAAATTTAACACTTGAGTAATTATCATAAATGATGTATAATTTATAAAGCAAATTAATTTTCAATGAACTGTTATATTTATAATTGTATAAAGTGGAGTACTTAACTTGCATATCCTGATAAACTACTAAATTATATGTTTTATAAAAATTGTTGTTATATGTAACAATTTTTTATCAAATGATGCAACAAAAGTTGCATAATTTCAATAATTTCAACATTATGTGAAGTATACACTTTTTCTGTAGTGAAGACATTTCCGATATTTAAAACAATTTTGTTTTTTCTTTTTAATAAAATATGTCATATTTTTGTGCCAAAAATATATAAAAATGTCAAATTCTAAATTAAGATATATTAATATTTTTATTTTTTATTAATTTTAAATGTAATGTTAGTCCTAAATCTAATATAGTTAACATTTTTAATTGAAGCGATTGACAAAATCTCTGGAACGTCCATCGAAATGGTTGATTTCAAAATATTCTTCGGTATTTGGCTAGCTTTTTTTGCATTTCCATACATATCCTATATATATAAATCAGAAGCATATCAATCTTTTATCATTATTATTAAATCTTTATTCTTTGCATTCTTTTTTTAATAATCATGTACTTATATCATGCACAAAGATCATATCTTCAATACTGAATGACAGACATGATAGGAGACAGACGATTACGTTAAGATAAAACTTTATAAATAAACACTGCCAAGTAAGTAGGTACTGTTGTTTATTAAAATTTATCATGTTATTGAATCATCAACTTAATGTTGTATAAAGTCCCGGGAAAAAATATTTTATATAAATGATTACATAAAATTATATATAATTCTATATAATCATATATAATTTTATATATATACATGTATAAAACATTTTTTCCCAGGGTAAATTTTAATGTAAACACAATGAAAAGAAAACAAATGCTTAAAAACGTGTTTAACAAATATGCAAATACATAGATATTATTCTTATTAAAAACAACTATAATACATATTTTCTTTCCAATTGATTCCTCTCATTATATTAATTCATAAAAGTCATCGAAATTAAAAGTTATCGAAAAATGAATATATTTTATGAGTTATTTCATCTCAGACAATATATATTATTTATAAAATATTTACAAAATTTATATTTTTGTGGTCTTAGATTGCACAGCGCTGATCATAAATATTTATTATAAATATCATGAAATATTTATTTATATTTATCATAAATATTACGTAAAAAATATTTAGTCTACAGGGTCCGCCACCAAAATCCGGACAAATTTAAATTTGAATTTCCTGCCTCATTAAGCTGGAAACACAATAGACACAGGCAATAGGCACAGGCAACAGGAAATAACAAGCCTTCCAATCAGAGCTCTGGGATATAATATCGAATTTATACCCCAAAGCTCTGATTGAACGGCTCGTTATTCCCTGTTGCCTGTGCCTATTGCCTGTGTCTATTGTGTTTCCAGCTT